ATATATTTATATTATATATTATATATACTATACTATATATATATATATATATATATATATATATATATTACTATATTACTATATATAATAACAGTGGTGGAAGAAGTATTCATATATATTACTTAAGTAGAAGTACTAATACCATAAAAGCCCTACGTTAAGTAAAAGTATGCAAGTATTAGAAGTAAAGTCACTTAAGTATCAAAAGTAAAAGTACTCATTTACTGTTAGTGTTTGTAATGTAACTACTTTATAAACAGGTTGTTTAATCTACAGCAATGCATCATATTTTATAAAATCATCATATGTTTGACATGTGAGAACCAAGTATCTCTAAAAAGTCAACTTTTCATGAGTTCAGAAAAACCAAAGATAATCCAAGAGAGTTTTTTAATTGTTAATCAGTTTAAGAAAAGTGAGAATTTTCTCACTCAATCCTTCAGTTTATCAGAAAAAAGTCAAATTGGAGGATTTTCACAGGACAGGAAGGAACTAACTTAGAAAATGCCTCCTCAGCTGCCTCAGTTTGATGTCCTAAATAGTGAAATAGTACTTATATACAATATCTAACACAATATATAGAATAGAAATGAATGTATAGGTATATACATGTAGTAAAAAGTAAAAATGAAATTGGAAAATAGAAATATAATAAGAGCCTAATAGCCAATATAATAATAAATGCAAAGTAAATGTAAATCTAAACATAAATGTAAACATATTCCACAGTATTGCTGACAGAAATTAAATAAATAGTAACGAGTTTTAAGATTGTGGTGTTGGAGAAGTTATATATATAAAACATTGTATATCATCTATCATTAAAGGTGTTTAAAATCTGCAAAGTGAAAATGTGGTGGAATAGAAGTATAAATATGTAAAAGTAGTAAAAGTACAAGTAACTCAGACAGTACAATACTTAGTTACTTCCAACCACTGGTACCAAATACTTATTAAAAGTAACAGTCCTGCACTCAAAATGATTAAAGCTGCATTAATGACCTTTTTTGGCCACTTGGGTAAGTGGAACAAGCTGAAAACAGCAACACAAATGTATTATCACCCTATAAAGTTATTATGGTGAAATTGTTAGCATACACTTACCAATTGGCTACACATCTGGCAGGCACAAAGTGACATTAGCATTCATTTGGAGTCATGTTTCTGGCCACCTGATGAATGTAATATTCACTCGGTTCAGCTCTGATTAGTTCTCTAAAACAATGAGCCAAAAGATGCTGAAATGCTCTGTAGAACTGAGGAGAACTGCAGAGTTGGATGCAAATATTCTGAGTTTGTCACTGCAAGGAACCCCTTTTAAATTATACTTAGCCTTTTGATCCACGGTTAATGAAAAATATTGATTAGGAGAGCTTTAGTAGAGCTGTGGATATAATACATTTTAGCCTACTCAAATGTCAAAAATAAAAGGTACCGCTTTTGAAAAATAGTGGCGATAGTCCTTTTTCCAAGAAGACCTATTGACATGTTACAGGAGAAAGATCACAGATCTAAATAATGAAATCAATGATGGCTGAATTCCATTTAGCTGCTTCAGTTTCAGGGTCCTGATATTGTGTCATGCTGGCTCACTGGTACGCTTAGATTTGAGCCATTGTTATTGTTTTTTATCAATTTTTATATATATATATTATTATTATTTTATCCTTTTTTGTTTGTTTTGTTTTGTTTTTTTACTTTGTTTGTTTGTCCCTTATACATGGGCAAATCAATAAAATATTAGTTATAGAAAATGTAATAATGTACAAAAAAACAAACATAAAACGACACCAGGCTGACTGAATTATTAGATAATATTATATAAATAGTAATAAATGTTTTACCATAGTAAAATCTAGAGTTGGCATGCATGCAGTGACACATTTTCAGTTATAATTGAATGTCAGATATTAAGGGGTTCCACATTAATACAGCAGACAGTCAAAGTTGCCTCTCACAATCAAGCTGAAAATATTCTACTGGCTGACATTAGCTCAGTATTGTTAAGTTGAAGCCAACAGAAATACTGTATTTACAAAACATTTTGCCTTTTCACAGTTTGGATCATCTTCAAAGAGGAAACCCCTCCCTGTGAGGTGGAGTTTGGCTTTGTAATTAGCAGCTCAAATGTATGCATGTGTATGTCTGCTAATTGATTTGGGCTAGGTTTAGTTTCTGGGTCACTGAATTCCATTCCTACTAATGAACCCCAGGGGAGGAGGAACATTGTGGATGCATGCATTTTTTCTTCTTTCTTTCTTTGGTGAAAGTTTGAAAGTTGTAAGTTCACTTGAATAATCATTTAAGATATGCATTTTGAAATGTTTGAATTAACTGCAAAGTTGCAGAGTAACAGGAAACCCCTTTTGTCTCTTTAGAATTTATATTTTTTGACTCTACAAATAACATGAATATGGTTTTACTGACAAGGTTTAAAATATTCAGAGTCATCCACAATAAAAACACAGTACATGTAATAATTAAAGATTAAAGGACTGAGAGTTAGTTGGTTTAATATCATTCTATTTCATCTCTAATCCAATTCAATTCTTTTCGTTATGCTATGTGATTTGTCAGCACCAATTTAAACTTGATTTGTACAGACTGTATTAACATTATTATTATTTTTTTAATTCGTCCAACCCTGCCATTTTTCATATATCGAGCCTTTTGGCATGTTGGATCATAGCACAGGTGTAAATTTCCTTTTAGCTGCTCAGTTTCAGGGTTGTGGTATTGTGCATGCTGGCTCTCCGTCACACTGCCATGACTTACTGGGACACATTGTTAATTTTATTAGTAACACCTGTGATTTAATAAGTCAAAATGACTGCTGTAAAACAGGCCCCTATGACTGAGGCAATATCCACACAATAGTGGATAAAAATAGTGTTGTGCCTCGTCTAGGGGGCCAAGACGCAGCATGAAAAAGACCAGTCCTTCCTTAGACCCAAGCAGCCAAATTAGAAGATTAACACCTGATGTGTTTATTTACAATGTGATAATAAACACAATACCAACATAACAAACAAAATAAATCCTCATTAAACCTAATTAAATGAAATATAACACATTATAATAATTTAACCTTCCTATCTATAATAAACAGGAAAATATGATTAACAAAACCAACCGCTCCCTGCTACCCACTACAGGAAGACATAGCCATCACTATGGACAACAAGTCCTCCAAATTGAACAACAAAATATGTCATTTGCCCATGACCTTTTAGAACGACACATGCGTTTTGTGATCTGACACTCCTATTTGCAGGATGACATCATTTTTCTGTGCCTTCCAAAACCATTTAATACTGTTGTAACTCTAGGAAAAAACTAAACTCAGATCTCAGCTGCACAAAGGGGCACTGATAACAGTAGCTTGTAGCTGTTAAAAAGTCTGAATGTGATTTAAATACAAAAAAAAGCTCTATGACATAGACTCACTCTATATATTTTTGTATATATATTATTTAGTAATGTATGTGTAAGGACATTCAAACAGCTTGATCTGACTTTCTTCAGCCAATCTTAACCCAGCTGCCAAAAAAGGTTCCCATTTTGGTTGTATTTTTCACTCACAGAGATACACACACTTGTATTCAAACCTTGCCCAGTTGATCCATATGGTTGCTCATTCCCTCTCCTCACCCCATATGGTAAAATTCTAACCTCAGCAGTGTTCTGTGTCGCGCCTCCTCCATTATGAACTGTTATGAACCACAGCGAACATGCTAGGATGTGAATGCTCCCCTGCTGTTGGGCCAGGTGCATCCAGACACTGGCAAACACATCAATATATGTGGTAGAACATGAAAAAAATCAAGGAAAATTAAAGTGCACAGTGGGAGAGAGGAGAGCATTAGAAGATGGTGGTGTAACACATGTAGGATGGAGACATGCGTACAGGGTACACACACTGTACATGAAAGCACTTACATGGATCTTTTGTCTCTCATACAGTCTCTCCATCACCCCCTACTGCTAAAATAACGCTGAATAATAATGTTGAAGACCATTTACCTATTTTTTCCACATGCATTATCCATCATGTTTCTAAATTACCCCAAGCCGCCTGAGTTTAAATGCATTACCAGAAGGCATTCTGAGGTGAGAAGGAGAGAGAGGCATAAGACAGCAGGGGGCCACATACACAATAATGTCCACAAACTCCAACTATAATCCCAAGGCAACCATTTAGCCTAATGTTGATGTAACTCTTCTTTGGGGTTTGTATTGGACAGCCTCTCTCTAAATTCATGGTTACAGCCAGATTTCACCTGAGAACGAGAGCAAGGGAACAAA